AGTAAACGAGCTTTCTTGCATGTTTAATAGTAGTAGAATACAAAATAGACATCTTTTATAATTTTTCAGTCGAAGAGGGGACAACTAGGGTTTCAAGATAGACCGAACGACGCCAGGGAGCGTACTCTGCCAATGAAATTGTTGTGAATCGTGTTTATTCAACCCCTTAATCCGGTCGCTCCGCCTCCGAAACAGGGTTCCCCTTAATCGTAGCATAGCGCCAGCCGCCCGAATCCTCCGCTCCCCCCTCATTCACACGAATATTTATCTTGGATTATCCTCACGCCTAGGTCTCGATGTTAGCGCAGCTATGACTCACACATCCGAGCTATAAATACGCACGCGCAAACCCCACACACGACGACGACTTCGTCAAGTTTTCGAATAAACGGTTGACTCTCTGTCCTTCCACAGACTTCATCCCTGTTGGATATTTAGTGGTATATGGCGTCTCAACAAAAGCAACGGTGAACCCCATCCGTCTGCCTGTACACATGTCTTCTAACTGCATTTTTTCCTTTTCTGACGCATAGTTTATCGAGCATTTTTCACACGCACATGCGAACCCTGATTGATTACAAGGACCGGCTACAGACCTTCTGAGTCATGATGGAATAAGGATTGGTGTTTTTTACGTAGCCTGACATGATTCTTTCTTCAGTGCTCCAAATCAGTCCACTGAACTCTCGTCTAGACCGAAGGTCACTCGTTTAACATCGCAGCACAACGATGCACTCATTTGGCCCCAGGTCTCACAAAGACGAAATGATGTTCAGGTCGCTTTCGTATCCCACCTATTCCAACATTGCTTGCACGATGAAGGTGTGTGACAGCTTATCGTTATGCACGTCTGGCGTTTTGATTGGCTCAAATCCGCATTCACTAGTCTGACAATGTCGCAGACATTAGGGCGTAGACACTAGGCGACCGCCATGTGCATTCATGCAGAACAGCCAGTCAACAAAAGGTCGCCAGCGCCGGAGAGATTGGTTTTCGAAGGAGGGAACAAAGCATTGGTGAAATGGGGTCCCAGAGTTTCTCTTTTCTTGGCTGCTGGGCACTTTTACAATGGCATGTTTTGATTGAAGTTGAAGGTTTGTTTCAATTTACGTTCACCACGACACCGGTACACCACAACTTTAGGCATTGCTATTGCTCATGCTCCTTCACAAGTCCGACTGAAGTGTATATGAAGTGGCTGGATTTTAATTGCTCACTGAGATAAACTCAGTCAAACCCTGCATCCTTAAGATGCTTGCCGATTTGATCAATTTTATCAAAGTTGAAATGAGGGCCATAAACCCACACCTCATACGGGTCACTTTGTTCATGTGATCATGTGTGTGTGTGTGGGTGAGCTTGCCAGCTGAGACGCGATGTCGTGTCTCTCTCATATCCAACCCTTCGCCCTTCAATGTGTGTGTGTGCGTGTGATAATTTAAGCTCACGGAAATGCGTGGGTGCTGCATGGGTACTGAGATCAGGTTCCATAAGAAAACCCACTCAGCGTCAATCACGAAAGCACAAATGCCAAAGACCTAACTGTCTTCACATATAGCAGGCCAGGCGCCCTATAATTAGCGACGTTCACACTTTAGTATGACTCGGCGAGCGACTAATCTACCCAAGTGTTGCAGATGTGCTCATCGACATTTTCTGTAGAAGCTGGAAATGTTTATTTGAAGCCGTTTACCACGAAACCCCGGTCCTCACACCCCCGCACACTGACACATCATGTTCGGCGGGTGAATGCGTTGTCGTCAGCACCTCGTAGCATTGCCTACTCACTTTTTCCTTTGTTCTCTGGGTGTCAAAGAAATCTTGGCTGATGAAACGGACTTCTCACCACCTTCAAAGTAACCTGGCGCGGCACGACTTGCACCCACGCTCGCGTGAACTCGGAACTGCTCTGGGTGATATCAGGTGTCTGGAAATAGGACACTTGAACTTGACCGGTGATTATTTAAATTCTCAAATTTCATTAACCTGAATTACTATAATTGTGGAGCCAGAGTCTCATGCTAACCTTTGCTGATTGTCAGTTATTGCATTTTAATCAAAACAACTCAGCCGCTGGTGCCAACATGACCTGTAATATCGTTTACCTGAACTAGCAGTATCCGTCCCATGTGTTTGCTGTTGGTATAGCGGTCGTAAATCGCACTCATACCCAACTCTTGGCTGTAATGCTTAGATAAGGCAGCAGCCGCTGCATTCTAGTTTCTCACACAAACCCCTTTTCCGATCCACCAACAATGCGCGAAAATACATTGCATGAATCTCTTCGGTGCCTTAAGTCCCACCTGTCATGTGCTATGCTTTGCTTCCGCTGTTTTCAATGATTCCAATCTGTAGGCATGAGTCAGATCAGGTGAAACTGCAGCTGGCTCATACAAAACGCGCTTCCGCTAGGGGAGCTGTGCGAATTGCGTGTGTGCGTGCCATGAAAAACACGCATCAGTAGACACCCTTAGGCGAATCGATGAATGTTTTAAATTTGTTACGGCTACTCGAATTCCACAAAACAAGAAATCTAATCCACTGGATGTCCCGTTCTTTGGCTAATCGATCGACTGGTTTCTTCACAAAATGCGCTCGCCCTACTGGGAACTAGTTGCACACGTCGTTCGCCTAATCACAGGCATTTTGGAACATTTTGCAGTCGTACTTGACGCAACGGCAATTACTGTTCGCCAAATCGAAATGGTTGAAGCAGCTGAAGTCGGCTTAAAACAACAATTACCGTGCAAGGGAAATCACACAGCAACCTAACAGTAACCGTGCTCACGTACGGGGAAATCACTGATGGTAGAGCTGTTTAACTGCAAACTAACACACACATAACATCACGGTTTCTTTTTTTCTGTTCGGCACCGATCTGTAAAAGAAATGTTCGAATCCCTTCGAGTGGCAACTGGCAATTGGGGGATTGACAGTTGAGATCAAGAACCATTTGAAACCCTAGACACTAGACTAGTTACCTTATTCATAGATAGTCTCCTAATTTTTAAAAACTAGTTATTACTGAACTATTGATTGCCCATGCTTGGAAACTGAGACGCTCAATCGCTTAAACATTGTTCATCAATTTGCGCCCATTGAAGTCTCCCATCATGTTGATCCTACGCACGACGCCACTAAATTCTGCTCATTTCCATTTTGCATAATGAGTGTAAGACTCATGGAAATGGCACCCAGATTCACGCATTCTTGAGTTGCACCGTGTTTGGTGGAGTGGCGCGACCTTCAAGGAATAACGATGACGCGGACCCCTGACTATGGTACCTGGAGCTTAATGGCATTCATCACCTCTAGTGTTCTGCTCGCACATGCTTAGAAATCCTTAACTGACCAGCGCTAACACCACCGCCAGGCGTTTCCACTCAAGGGGACGCATGCCTCGATAGGTACCTACCAGGTCTTGCATTGTGGCGTTGAACACGCAGTCTTTTAACGTCTGTTTAATTTCGATTTGGATATCTAAGAGAAATACTTACTAGGGAAACTCGTCTTAAGCAGAACAAAGTCAATTCTTATCGATATCTGAATAACTAGTTGTTTTGATTAACCCGTTTTGACTATTTATTGGTTAAGCACTCTTTATCGATTGATGAAGTCAAACATTAACCGCGTTTATTGACTTCGTCTCTAGATGTGAAATTTGGAAAACACTTGGCATCGAAAAATTGTTTACCATCTAGTTTAGTTTGCGTCTTATCTCCAAGATGCCTCAAGCTGAATAGAGGCTTTGAAGTTTAGATCTCTTCATCAGCAAATTACCAATTTTGATTTCACCTCCTTCTCCATTCGTCTGTGCGATAGCCTTTTCAAGCAACTCCATCAAAATGAATAACCAAATCCTACATCTCTTCAGATGTGGGCTTTGGCTTCGGTACGAAAAGAACTCTATCGACTAAGTGACATTTCTCGGGGGCATTTAGACTTTGGTTTAAGGTTCGGCATCAGAGAGACTCTCGGTGGAATGCGTTTCAAATCTCTTGAGTCGAATTCTTGCCGGAAAATTAATCTTTTTCTATCTTCAACACGCAAAGGCTAGACGAAGCGTAGTGTTGGGTATGGCCGCCTTTAAGTTGTGTTCACTTGGCAAATCATCTTCGCGGATCTTTTTAGCTCATTTCAAATAACTTGAAGGTAACTTTTTATGGCTGTCTGACTGCACTCACGCCCGGCTAATACTTTAGTAGGAATTCAGGTTCCAGAAATCATTCTGTTTTCGTGAAACATTGCTGAAGCGAGGTGATTGGCCAAGTATGCCCACATTGGCCTCTTTTTAACGAAAAATCACTTTGTAAATGCTGCGTGTATCATGACAATGATTCTCAATATTGCGCTTGCAGTCGAACTTCAATAAATGAGAAATAGGCATTTCATTTGGCTCAGGTCTGTGAATCCATTACCGAAATTCAGTCCGCGGTAGACAGCAAGACTGTGATTGTCTGATTTGAACAATCAGTAGACTGATAATGATAGACGGTCAAATGAGGAGACCTTTTCCAAATCAGAGTATTTGGGGTGGCTGAAAGACTAGCCAACTCCGGGCATATTAATTATTCATCAGCCTGCTATGAATAACTTCGCAAGAGAGATGGGGTTTGCCATTTACGAAGGTACTTGCGACAGTCGTCTTGGTTCTAAGCTCAGAATGCATATAATCTCATTCACTAAGAACACAACAAAAAAACTTGGAATTTTCGCTGTCGCGACACCACAAAGCTACGATCGAGGGTTTAGAAACAGGCCTTCTCATTACTAACACAAGGGCACAGGATATAGCACAAGAGCCTATTTACTCTGTGTAAATAATGTCTTGTTGGATGAGACTGACTTGGGCAACTGAATGGAAGGGGCAGAGGAGTTCTGTGTGAAGTTGAGTTCGTGGTAAGTTGATTTAACGATCTACTAGCTACCAATGCTAAGGTGTGAGCAGTGACGGTTGTGCGCACGGGTATTCACACACGCAGATTTGCACAAACCAAGCGATGACGGGTAAGCTCGTTGGTTGGTCTGGCAAGGTGAGTGGTGTGTGCTGCTGCCATCCAATCAATGCCCAGTGGGCAGTTATTTGACACCTGTGGTGCTATCGCCAGAGTTACTTTTTAGAACAGCAGAAAGTGAGTACACGCACTCCGTGGAGGTTCGTGCTTCTGGACTACTACTAACGCGTGTTCTGATCTTACTATTCAATTTACCAACTGTGTAAGTGTTGCTGTATTGTGTGAATTCTTGCACTTGATTTTATCGAGTCGTTTTGAGAGGCGTGTGTAGCACTTAAGGCTGGTAGATTTCTGCTTAGCCTAACAAGGGTTCTCATCATCTCCAACAGCCGTGACTCACGCCAACATTTGGTGTGATGATGCGAATACATTCGGCTGAACTCTCTTAGACCAATCATCCCGACAGAAGTTAGCAATTTTACTATTAAGACAGGCGACCAGCTTTGCTTTAAATAAAGCCAATTCACTTGATGAAATTACACTCAAACCACAGACACTTTTACGATGATACACGCCACGCGTTATGGATGCTACTGATCCGCAGCTCTCATCTACTCGTTCGAGTCCTTGGTTTGTCGTGAGAAAACACGTAGTGTGCTCTGCACTCAGGTAGCCAATAAACTGAGATAATTACATTTCCCGCATCCTTGACGGATGCAATAATGTGGCTTAGTCATAGAAGACGAGTGGCAACATATCTTGGAAAATTTGAGATGCCTAGCGATGTAATAGCTACTCAGAAATAGTTTGTAATGGTTTTCTTTTAAAATAACTTTAGTGGACGTTGTGAAAGCAACCAAATTTCGAGCACCTCATAAAACCGAAGTTTCACAAAGGCATGGATGATTACCACAGTGAAGAAGGAGCTTCTTGGGTATGGCAAGATCAAATTATTTTTCTTTGCAACCAATCATTTAGTTTTATGCACTTTTCGAACGCCCACTCATTTCTAATACAGAAGAGAACCTGATCTGATTTAATTCAAACCCTGATAACCAGACCAAACTACCTAGAATTGAATCAGCTGTTGCGATTTCCGTGACTTCCATTTGTTCGGAAAAGCAAACGTTTCTCTCGATAGATTAATGCATGAAAATGTGTTTTTGCTGATAACAGCCTCTACTTATCGTAACCATGACACTTTAATTATGATGCTAAACACGAATAACAATCCAACGCGAATGGAATTTGCATAAGTTGTGCTCATTACTTCAATGTTGCGACTTTATTAATGGGAAATCATTTCTGGGCCCGTGTTTTAAAGAGCCCTTGTGCGAAACGTGCTTAGGCAGTGACTGCCTCCTGAGTTTGACGGAGTTGGCAGTGTAGTTCTGGGTGTTGTGAAAAAAAGAAGCTACAATTATGCCAAAATGCAGAGTTGTGAGGACTACTAACTTCCTTTCCCCCCATTACTTGCACTTTTAGGATCCATGCTTCCACTACCCAATTCCTGGAGGTCTTTTGGACAGGGATGTAATTGAAATAACCGGCAAATTTACTGGCGAAAAGTAAGTAGAGCCCCGCCTCGTGTGGTTTGTTGACACACCTCTATACTTCTGCCCTGCTCGTCGTGATCTGGGTCAATTTTTTGCAATAATTTTGGTCTGGACGTAAGAACGTTCGGCAAGTAAGCTAAGAAACCATTAAAAGAGCTTGAAATACTTCCTTTATAACGGGCGCCTCTTTTAAAGAATGAAGGTTATGATCGAAATCGGTTTTTTTGTTTTCCTTGCAATTCTCCTCTCAGGCAACGATTCCCGGTGTCGGCCTTGAGATATTGTATGAACTAAATCCGCAATTTAATTGGCTGTATCGATACGTTGTCCTCCATCTATTCAAATATAGAAGTTATGCTTTCGAGAAAGCTATTTATCAAACTGCGAAAGAGAAAAGCATGGTTTCTGCTGACTTTTCCAATGTGTCAGTTGTCTTGCCTTGCTACTAGTGCCAATCCATATCTGCACTTTGCCAAATCTTATTTCGACGATCAAGCAAGGAACATGTGCGCAATACTGACGTCATTTAAGTAATAAATATCTACAATTTGTTGGACGAAAATGAAGTACCGCTTTAGGGCTAAGCACGTATAGAATCTTGAATTGGAATTCAAGGGGCAATGGAAGCCTCGGGTGTCTTTTGATTTTTATCGAGAGTTATTTTACGATGGTATTTACGAGACGTAGAGCCTTCATAGTAAGATTTTTTTTAATATTGAAGGATTGTGATTGAAATCTTGGCTGAGTCCTACGTGCAGAACGGTGTGAACATTGCACTGCCGTTGCAATTCACGCTTTCAAGCAAGGGGAATTGGACTGCCTCCACGTACACCCAGGCTGTGCATCGTCAAGTGCAGTCGGGCACCACCACGCCAAAGGAGAGTTTCCAAATCCGCATCATCGCACTGGACACTGCATTTGAGGTGAGTCTCCATCCTTTTTTTTGGAATTCACTCTTTTATTACGTGGCACAGAGGCTCAAGTCGGTTTCGCCTCTTAAGAGCAGCTGAAAAAAATCACTTTAGTACGAACTCGAACCACGTTCCTATCGGCAGGGGAGCTAATACGCACTGCATTATCACCGAAGCGTGGTCTGGCTTATCTGAGAAATCAATCTACGCGTTTTCATTGCCAAGCGAGCAGGAATGCCTATAGGCGTGGACTTTGTAGTGTTGTGTTGATGGCACCTACACTTGAGGTTACTCATCGCGCGGCACGACTGCCTTTTTCCGTGAATTTGCAACTTGGGTGGGTGTTTAGTTAAGGCATCAATGACTCACTGAAACTCACAGCTTCAGGCCCCTCGTTAAGCTGAAACCGATTCGTTTTAAGCCCTAAACGTGTGCCTTGTAGCCCCCTTCATGACACTAAGATGTAGTATTTGGGTTTATTGCTTTTTTACGCATCTGGAGCCGTAAATTTGAGTGCTCTGATCACCAATCGTGGTGCTGCGTTTATTGATATTAGATTATTAGAGTCTCTGAACAATCATTGATTGGTTTGATTCAATTTACCCGAGTATTCAGCAATTAATGTGTGTGTTCTCAAAGAAGAGCCGGTCAAAAATGTGTATTTAACTTTATTTAGGTCTACCTTGATGGAGTACACTTGTGTACGCAGAAGCACTTGATTCCACTGCCGGAAGCTACCCACTTATCGATCGATGGTGATGCCGAATTCACGGGCGTCGAGTTCAAGGATTTGTGTACTGAGAACGACGCTTCCACGCATAGTAACTCTTTGACGACTGAGCAAAATCAGTTTGGAGCAGCGGCAGAAGTCACCCCGGGGTTCACGCGATTTTCAGAAAACCGCCGCTCGTCCAATCGGAAACCAAGGTCCCCCATTCTAGTGCCAACTCACGGCAGTTTCAGGGCGAAACCAACTCTTGCAACAAATCTAGAAGAACCATCACTAAGTCAAGAAGTCTCTGTACCACCTGCCGTTATAGCCGCAGCAGCTGCTGAGCCTGTGCACGCTGCAATGGACTCTTCAATGGGCAGTTTAACACCTACAGCCATTTCTGGTAAACGATCCCTTCATGGTTCTGGTGTCGCCGGTTCTGGACATCGGGAATCAAAGCACAAAAGCCTTCGTGAGAAATTACACTTAAAGAAAAGCTCTAAAGTCTCCACTTCAGCCGTCACGACTGAAGAAAACCAGTACGCAAACACTGGTAAATTTAATGATGTTTGGGTGGAGGAAGGTGGTCGTGAACTTAGTGCTGATGGCACCGGCGCTTTTGTTGTGGCTGGAGCAGTTTCGGAGCCCAATCTTCACACACGACCAGAAAAGGAGAAGAAGCGCTTATCCCTTTTGCATGGGAGCAAGAAGACTCGCTCAGCGTCGTCGCCACCGGCTGAGGCGTCTGCAACAGCAGAAGGCAAGGAGAAGAAGAAGAAGCATCACATCGGACCACTTCACTTTGGGCATGGATCAAAGCACGAGGGAAAATCGGCAAAGGATGCAAAGAAAAAGACGTCCAGTGGGAAGGGTCTTGAAGCGCCGCAAAAAAGCTCCACGATAGGTGCCGCTAAAGTTGCAGACGGAGGCTCTGCCGTGGGTACAGGCGCTGTTCTTGCTACCCAGGAAGTTAAACTCAACTCAGAAAACTCAAATATTGATCCACTGCACGAGCCAGCTCCTACTCTCCTCGCTAAGGCCCATGGAAGGCAGAATTCCTCGTCTCCTGGCTCCTCACGACCAGCTTCGCAAGCGAAACCGAGTGTGCATCTTGGTGGTCACGTCAAGGGTTTCTACGACCTACAGGAAGCTGAGAAAACTTATGACGTTCATCGCGGCACATTTCGCAAAGTGGAATCAGGCGCAGCAGTCGCCGTTGGTGCGGAGTCCAATAGGTTAAGTCGAAGGAGTTCGAACTCCTCAACCACAAGTTCCAGAAACGCGGTTGCTTTCGAGATTGCTCAAAACGCCCAAGCGTTTGACTTCGCAGCTCCCCCTGACGCTCGTAGCAGAAGTGCGTCCGCGTCGTCGCATTCAAGCACCGAGTCATTGAACAAGTTGGGTGCTGGCGCAGCCGCCGACACAGCGCATACTAAAAAATCAAAAGGCAAGTCAGGACAACTCAAGGGCGAGTCACCTGAGATCGCGGACCAAATGTTGATGGGCCATGCCACAAGCCTGAACTCACTTGAAAATCTCACATACACTGACCCGTCTCTCAACATTCCTCTTCAGCTGGCTGGTTTGAGTGAGTCTGTGGTTTCCTCGTCCAAGGATCTTCACAGCAAGAAGGAGGCTAAACTGAAAGGAGATGCGTCTGAAATTGCTGATAACTTACTAGGCGAGAGGCGGGCCATGTCTGGCGAATTCACAACTTACACTAGTGACAACAAAACTGTACCCTTAAAACTCACTCACGAGGACCTTTTGTCTACCGGGGGAAAGGGTTTCACTCCTCTTGTCGGGCCGAAGGGTTCCTACGATCTTGAGAACTCGTCTAGTGTTCCTGCTGGAAGCTATAGGTTAAGGGAAGATACAAACTGGAGTCTTGATAGTGGCAGTATAGTTGCGCAGACCACCGGGGAAAATGTCCAGCATTCTGAACCTCCAGTCGAAGCTCTTGCCGTCGGAGTTGCCGCACCAGCCGCCTCCAAGAAAAGCAAGAAGATTTCCCTAAAAGGTGAGTCCGCCGAAATTGCCTCGGACCTTTTGGATGCCAGTAACAAGAACTTAAGGATCCCAGACGGCGGAAACCCGTTGTGTGGTGAGAATGGAGTGATAGCTCCGTGGAAGCTAACTGCCACCAACAGAGATGCACAGCTTGGCTCTTATTACAAATTCGGACAGACCCCAACCGATTTGAGCAGTCGCAATAGAAGCTTTGATGACACTGGAGCTGGCATTGGCGCAATGGCTATTGCAGCGGCACACGAGGAGAACGTCTACGCAGAAGCACCATCTCCTGACCAACTAGTGGGTGGGGGCTCTTACGAAAGAGTCGACTCTTTCAACCTCAAGTCATCTACTCTTCCTGCCTCGGGGAAGGTCAGTACTAAGGCTACAGGCTCTGCTCCTGGTTCAAGGGCAACCCTGCCGGCTGCTGGGGTGGTTGTGGCAAAAGACAAGGATAAGAAAGACAAGAAGCACCATGAAGGCGCGGAAAAGGGGAGGAAGCGAGATCGCGTGTCTGGATTTTTCCGGAGGATTTTCCGAAGGAAGAAGAAGAGTGGTAGGTTCACCTGCAATCTGCACCAATTTTTAATGCCAAGCCTTTTGGATACCTTTTTATTTGTGTGATCATGAGAGAAATTTTATATAAGGGTCCAATTTCCTCGGTTTATATAACCCTCTCTGGTCGAACAAGCAGTAATGGCAGTAATAGGTTTAGATAAATCACACCCTATTGGTAAATAATTTTATTATGGTTAATTATTGAAAACCATAGAGTTCTCTTTATTACTCATAAGGAGTCTAAATAGTTTTCAATCCACCAGATTAACTTGAAGTTCGGGTTCATATATTTTAATTTGAAGCCATTTTATTCGAGTATTCTCGTAACAGAATAATAACTCCGATTTCGACTGAGTCATCTCGTTCCCCCTAGGTGGTGCTGCCACGCAAAGTGATGACGAAGGTGGAGAGTACACTGGGGACTTCGAATCCCTTCCCGAAATGTACGAGAGAGGAAGCGACTCAGAGCGATCTTTTGACTCGGATGATCACCATGAAACCGAATTCGCTATCACTGCATCGCCCAGCGAAACAGGTCTGTATGCGGCGCAACTTCGAGGCGACCGATCGGCCTTGAGTGTCAGCCGTCCAATTGAAAGCATGTGTGGCACAACTTTCGTTGCCTATCCACTCAAGCTTACGTCGTTGGCTGTCGCCGAACAGTTACACGCTGCGTCGTTAAGTCAGACCTCTGGGGATCGCGTCCACCGTAGTGAATCGGCATCTTCCTGGAGCTCCGTTTCTGTGGGGGGGACTCGTAGGAGACGCCGACGGCCATCTCCTCAGGCTGTTGGAGGGATCACACACCGGTCTGAATCCTCATCTTCGCACAGTTCCTTGAAGGGTTTCGCATCTCGTGACAAAATGGAGACCGATAAGCCAGTGGTCGAAGTGTCCCACGCAATCCCCTCTTTCGCCTCCATTCCCACACACCGTTCTGCTTCTACCTCTTCAGATTCTTGGAGAGGCAGGGACAGACCTGGCGTTGCCGACGGTAGCCTCAAAAAAGACCGCAGATCAATTTCGTTATCTCGTTCTCCTTCTCCCGAACCTCCGATGCCATCACTTCAAATGGAACAGCAAGTTTTTACCCACACGGCTCCTCCAAACGGCCGTGACCAGCCCTACAGTCCGTTTCATGACTCTAAGAAGCATGAAAATGGAGCGGGCTCAACTTCATCGTCTACTTCCTCCATCAACAGTCTCTACGGTCGCATTGTGATCGTGGGACAAAGTTCGGACTTCTCCAAGCGCATACAATCATTCCGAAAGCGGATGCAGACCACCCCGAAAGCCAAGCGGTCGAAAGGCACTAAGAAGCGAGGCGAAAACGGCTTCGATAGTGACACCTCGACCAGTTCAATATCCTCCATCGAATCTGCTCAACTGCCACCAACGGTGGTTAAGTCTAGGGAAGGACAGTTTGGTGTATTACCCAACGCTGGAGAAACCATTTTCTACGATAAGCCCTTGAGAAAGGAGGACACATATGCAAATAGTATGCTTTGAATTATGAATCATTTCTGTTTCCTTTGTTGTGCTTTGCATTCAACTAGGCAGCTAAAACAAGGCTCGTTGTCATAGGGTTATCAAGAAATACTGATACACAAGTAGCATACACGTTTGCGCACATTAATTATGACATAAATTTCAAATATCTTTACCGCTAGTGGTGTTTTTTAACAAAAAAGACTTTGGCGTGTGTGTTCTGACGGTGTCTACACCAAAATTTTCACCAAAAGGACTTTGATTTTATCTGTTCAAGTTAAAGACAAATGTTAATCATGACTTGTTGACTGTGATGAGTTTAGGTTGCCCACACAAATCACACTGAAACACTCGTTTATCTTCTATTTTGCAGACGTGCGGTTTTAAGTGGACATCATCACGCTGAATGCGCTGCCTTTCATTTTACTGCCTCCAAAAGTTGACCGAGATGCACAGGCAATTACTCTTCAAGACCCACCTTTCCTGCAAAAAAACAACATTTTTGATACCCCTTTCAGACTTCTCACCTACGTTTTGCACGCACTAAATTGTCAGACCACAAGAGTGCTTCAATCTAAACGGATGAAAACTTATTCCAGTGGTGGCATATCGGTCTTCCGTTCATTGCCTCTTGATTGTGTATTTTTCCAACAAAACAATATACTTCCAGCCTCTCGAAGTAGAGTGGAAGACGGGTTAAGGAAGAGAGCCAAACGGTGTGGTTCTTGTTGGGTCTGATTTGCTCTGAAAATTTGCCTGAATATTCACCAATTAAAATTGGCCGGTAGTATTTTAAGCACCTAAACGATTTGCTGATAGTCCCGTTCTCAATTAATTTGGGCGATAATTGTGGTCAACGTGAGGTAGCCTGTAATATGGGAAGTGATCAGTGGTGACTAAAACTGCGTTACGTGAAAACAGGTGGGTTAAGTCTGGCAACAGACTGTCTGGACTACGAACACTGGCTGATATCTCGCGCGATTCGGCGCATTTCAGACGAAGTCGATTTCGTGAGAAGTTGTTAAAGGACTCAGCGGAACTGTAGCGTTTGGGTGTGCTTCAGCAGAAACACAGCAACCATATAAGTCTCATTCGTAGGATATTGAGAATGTCATTATTTATAACTTATTTTTTTAATAATGTGTCCGCTGAACAGCTTTCTACCTGCACTTGTGGTAGCGGTTTTTCATACCCAGACAAAGATTTTTGAAGCCATTTATTCAAAGATAGCATCAATGACTAGAGGATGCCATAACATTAAGGTCTGTGCATTTTAAACTGAACCTTATACAGATTAGAATTAAGCATTTGAAGTAAACTAGGTAAATATCAACTTTTTCTTTAACATGCATAAATCGCTGGTAAAACGAAAAGGTCATTTGTAGCCAAAAAAAAGCAGGATGCCTACACTGCTAGTGCCAGCACACGAGGCTCAGTGGAGCAAAAATAATGCAGGAATAATGTCGATTTTGGTAATTGCACGAGACCCCGCCAAGGATATTCTGTTACAAACAGTTGTTTTTTAAAAAAAATTAAAAATGGACACTGCAGGCTGCCTGGGGGTTATTGGCTACCAAATCTAATCTTAAATACGTACCGACTTTGGAACCAGATCATGTCAGTAATCAGTCGAATGACTTCCTCGTAAAACAGTCATTACCGCCTTTTCGGTCATCTACCTAAGTCGACTTTGAATTCCATTATTTCCACTTTACAATTCACTCACTATTCGCAGCTCTGTTGGGAGCCAATGATATTCTGCTTTTTTTTCTGGAACTACACTACTTGCCTCTGTTTGAAAATGCCATTTTTAGATCAACAAATGTGGAAATAGCTTTTTTTCTAAACAAAGAAAACAGCGATGGAAAGTAAGGATTAGCTTACCAGCCCATGAATTAAATTAGATATGGTGGGTTAAGGTTAATTAGTGCGAAGACTAAGGAGTTTGTTAACACTATTGATGGTACATGTGGACATGTTGGCTAATCTGATTTGGCCGTTTAAAATTTCAGGCGTCAGTTTCTTTGTTTGAAACAAGAAAAAGTAAGGATCACCTCGTCAACTGCCTCTGACTTCATGACCTATTATTTGTCTTCCTCCAACTTAAAATTCAGTAAACTTAATTAAATGCAGACTAGTAAAAATCGGACTCGAATACAACTATTCGACGCAGAAATGAGGTAAGAACTGATGAAATGGTTACAGATTTTATTCACCTCAGTTCTAACCAATGATTTGCGTTTCTAACGCCGATTTGTTTTACTCGTCTTCGATTTGAGCCGACCTTGAGGTGACCGCTTTTTGAACCTTCAGACCTCGAGGCAACTAGCGATTTGGACCGGTGCCAGCCAATCGTCTGCTGAGCTTAGGGTTCAGATTGTCGCACACTCTGAACGTCTGGGATGAACTTATAGCCTTTCTCGGTACCAACCATCGGCATGGCTTTTCAGCCTTGGTTTCTGCAGTCGCTTGGGGTGTTGACAGCCCATAAGTGGCACTGGTGGTAATATGCCACTCTCAGTAAACACACATGCATGGCTATGCCGAATGGGCTTTCAGTGGCATTCATCGCCCCTATGTGACTCGTTCTTAACCGATTTATAGCGTAACGATTCATCAAAGTTTGACCTTCAGCTACACAGCCGCTAAAAATAAAGCTTCTATCCTGCGCATTTATAGCACCCACACATGTAGTTCCGTAGTCTTTTGTCTAATTATAAAAAAACACGTATTTCTCAGTTGCTTGAGTTACACAATAACTCAGAATTCACCTGAAATCGAAGCAAATTAAATTGTTTCAGCAGAATTAGCTTAACCCTTCGATCACATTGTTGATGATTCCGGATTGCTGCACGAATTTTTTGTTTCTCCAAAGCTTACTGGCTACATGTTTGACTTACTTGCAATTTATACTCGAATGAACTTCAGGTCCGGCTATCCGGTAAAACCACAGACGTGGCTCGGATCAAAGTGCTTCAAACCATTGACTCAACGCTTATCATGGCTGAGCTTTCGCTAAAGGATAATTTACTTAGTAATTTCGACACACACAAGGTCGCATTCAGGTGCTTCCATTCCAACAACCTGTCACGTTTTAGTGTCCACGTCAAAATTACTCTTACCATGTTGATTTCTTATTGAAGAAGGAGTACGCGTAAGCTGTGAGGTTATATTGTCCCCATCAATAGTATTGTAATCATATTAACTATTACTCATTCTTTAAGACAAGTCGAAGGTAAATAATCGATTGTAACCAATATGTGTCTTCTGGTTCATTTCATGCTTTAATTGTACGTACAAATTTCATTAGTCGCTGCTGCATTTCCGTGTCCTTCTCAAAATTTAGTGTGTCTCTTCTCCACTGAATGGAATCGTCCTAATCTGGATACGCAGCCACCGCAGTCTCAGATTCAAAACTGCTCTCATTAAGCAATTGTTTACACCAGCATCCGTTCACTCACTGCTTCACAACTCTGCGATGTACTTCGTCATCGAATGCTAATGCAAAGGTCATTAGTGTCTTTTATTGTTGAACTACCGTGCGATTTGAATGGTTCTTTCAAATCAGCGTCACTATCTTCCAAAGTGGCCGATACCGTATTTCGAAATTTTGGCAATCCGTAGGCCAATATATCCAGATTAAGTGTGTGAAAGTGTAGTTGTGTAACTCGGTCTTCCGTCGCAAATTTCCTCTCGAAACACAAGTTCTGTGACAATTCCTTGTGTCCAACTTTTATGGACGCACTTGTGGCCATACCACCCTGTCATGCCAGCATCTGAATCAAACCGTGTCCATGTTTCTAGGGTTGCCAAATCTGGCACTCCACAAGCACTTTCTCATTTTAACTTAGGTATAGTGATTTGAAGTAACTCTCTTTTACTGAAATCTACTTTATGCCGTTTTGAGGGTAATGGCTTTTTGGTCCAAGCTCTTTTTTATCGCGAAAAGGCGATGTTTTCGCCAACATTGTTCATTCCGGAGTCTAAAAAGCTCCATTTGAGTAAATGCTAGCCGCTTCTGTATTCGTCTTCTTAAGTTCCTTACATTAGACTATCGGTTTCTTACTAGTGTTCATGTCGTTTCACCACCTAGAATGACAGTACCTATGCTTCATTGTTGAGCGTTCCATTCTTCTGAACCTAACAATCATTGGACTAGGTTTGTGCGTTTGATTGTGTACTGCAGTTTCCCAGCGCGAATTAGTAACAGTGACTTGAGAATGTGTTCAGAATACCTTGCATTTACTCATTAAGCTTGTTTTATCTTCACTGGATGTGTTTTCCGTTAAGAGTTGCATTTTCAGGCCTGCCACCTTGTCAAGACATGATGCTTCGAATAATGGGCATGTCAATTTTTTCCTCCTCCAAACCCAGGGCTGCTAATTTGTTCAATGCTTACTTATAACTGTCAATAGTCTTTTAAAAAATGAATAATGAATTGCTTCATGTAGACACAAAGTTTAGGAAGGGCATTGACTCAATCAAATCAATGGTGAGCACTTGGTGTGTTTGACGGATCGTGATTCGACAAGCCGATTGGCTAATGGTGTGGAGAATCCAGCAACGGGGTTTGTGATCTTGGCGGTCAGACCTTATGTCACAAATGGAATTTAGCTTTTACGATGGTCATTGTGGCAAGTGTGCGGCTGCCACCACTACTGTGAATAATCTAAAACGCTGGTTGTTTTGGCCTTTTAAATAATCTATTACCTCATTTTAGCATGTTAATGAAGTCATTGTGGCAAGTTATTTGTAGTCATTTAAACCATAAATTCCCTGCACGAGGTGAGAAACGTAACTACCTTTAAAAGTAATGCTAACTGTAGCAACTTTTTATTGGCAGACAGGAGAGATTCAATGCGAATGCATTCCGTGAACGCTATTTGAGTAGATGAAGCCCAATTAAAAGGGATGGTAACAGCCCGGGGCGGCTTGTAGATAACAGTGGCGTAAGCACTAACACACATACTCGCAGGAATCGAAGAACAACTGAGACAGTCCGAAAAGTCAACCATTTTATG